CTGAGGCAGGCTCTGGCCCCGGTTCAGGGAGACGCAGGCACACGCTCAGCGAGCATCGCAGAGCAGATAAACGGTACTCGTAAAAATATATAGATGTACATTTTTTAATAAATGACTGGGTTGAAATTCCACAACATGCGATTGCTCAACAGCAGAGCTGTAACGAGTTACCGCTCATCAACTCCAGACAGCGCAGGGACAACTTCTGTTGGTTCAGCCTGTCTCGAAATCACGACTCTGCCTAAGCAGCGGTGCCGTCTGGGCCAGGCGCTGCGAAAACCTCCCTCCTTCCTCTCAAAAACCTGGCGGCATTGCTCATGCTGAGCTGCTCGGAGGCGCAGTGGTTGATTGCTCACCTTATCTGGGAAGCAAGGGTAGGTGGCTGAAGCCCTGCCTGGCGGTAAGTGAAGGGTGGGACAGTAATCTGAAGAGTGTTTTCAAGGATTCGGTAGCGGCATGAGAAAGAAACCAGCAGTGCTGCGTGACACACATTCGGCAATCTGAGGAGCTTCCTGTGCAAACGACAAGTTACGTTTTACCATGCGTAATCTTACTCATTTCTGTTGAGCCGTGAGGAGCATTTTCACCAGCCACGATGTGTGTGTGTGTGTAACTCGGCCGCTTCCCCCACAAAAACGCAGCAGGAGAGATGGAGTTACCCAAGGAGTTACGCTAACTGACGCGGGGAATTGGCCGAAGCCTTCCCGAGGCCAGGCTGCTGCGCGGAAGGCAATCATCACACGATGGGGTTAAGCCCTGGGTGGAACTGCGGCCTCACTCGCAGAAGGATCGTTTGTCACGCCGTGACAACGGGTATCCATTGGGAAAGAACCAACATCCACCCGCTCGCTCCATGTGCCTCACGATGGGAAACTGGTTATTGGAAAAGATCCCAAACTTATTTTATAACTATGCACGTAACATCACACAAGGGAGCAAAACAGTTCTCCTTACCCCCAGCGATAGCAGGATCTTGGATCGAGCACTGCTACAGCACTTCAGATACTCAAGCACTCTGCAGACTAATTTATCCTTCTTCAGATGTACACTTACTGGGGGAAATGAATATAATTTTCTTTTTTTGTACCTTAAAATTCAGGGAGGGAGAAAGTATTTGAGCCAAAAGAATGAGCCCAGGTCAGAGGGAGGAATGAAATTCAGTATTTCTTGACCCTTGGCACTCCACTAGGTCTGTGGAGCGTGCCCCACTGTGCCCCAAGCTTCCCTCAGGGAAACACAGGGATCGCCACGGATATCGGCACGCAACATTGAAAAAGTACAAAAGCAATGTAGATATCAAACCATATAATGGATGCAAAAAGTCCATCAGAACACACCTAACTCTACATTATACAAAAATACTTTGCAAAGAATAAACATTCACTCAGCAAAACGGTTATCAAATCCATATCTTCAGCACAGTGACTAATAATACAGCTGCAGAGCAATGATTAGATTAAAAGAACTATTTTAAAAACCAGCTTCAAAGTAATGGTAAATACTCATTTTGCAAAACAGCACATTTCACTCCGAGGGATATCCCCAAGTAAAACCAGACAGTGTGATTGAGCTGTCAGCTCCCACACATTCATCTATGCAGATTCTCACGGTGTCTGCTGCCAGGACAGGGTGACTCCTGCTCCGAGCCCAACGCCGTCCGCAGGGACGGTGCGTGCCGGGGCTGGCTGCGGACCGGATGGCACAGCCGCAAGTTCTGCTGCTGGAGATGAGCAGGAGTGAGGCAGGAGCGCAATGCACAGAGCGGTTTTGTCCTCGTTCTTGGCACCCGTCAGAAAGAAGGACTTTCCATCAATGAAAATCAGGATTTCCCCCAGACTGCATGGATGAGCCAACCAATGAGCTCACTGGGTATCCCAAAAATACATACCGTTAAAAAACCCCAACCCCAAAACAGGTCTCATTTCTTATTTTGCTATTACTAAGATGCATGTGGGAGTGACTTTAAAGAAAGTGAATAGAGGGGTAAGAAAAATGAAAGTGTGGTGGGGCCACATGCTCTTTAAGACTTAGGGGAAAACCTTTAAAGAGGAATTGATAATCCCTCCCAGACAGGCGTTTCCCTTGTTTTGGTGATTAGCCATTTGAAGACCATCGACGTTGTAACAGCTAGAAAAAGCTCCTCCTATATACTTCTGAATTCATCTCATCAAGCAGGGAATAAAAACCTTTTGCGCTGAGTTAAAGCATACATTATAAAAACAAACGCATGTTAAAAAATAAAAACATCTTAAATGGCTCTTAATTTTCACAAAAATAAAGTTCATATAAAAATCGGTCTCTGCTCCTGGTATTTTATACAGTACCACTCACCACAGCAGCTAGGCACAGATGCTACAGAACACTGAATTATTTGTAAAAAAAACTTAAAAAGGTGCCACCTCCCTGTGACACTCATTTAAAAACTGGCATAGAAAAATACTCAATAAATTTCTTCATGCTAATTAAAAACCAACCAAACAAGCCTCCCCTCTGATCCTTTGACCTTGGAAAACCTAGTCTTTTATTTGAGTACTACTCTGTGCTCTCCTCGTGCTATGTGCGAGGAAAATTCGTATCGGTCATGGCTTCTGTACCCGCAGACGTTGCACTCAAAGGGATCGCGGAACCCGTGGCAGCCCATGTGGATGGTGAACATCACATAATCCAAAAAGAGGACGCGGCAATGGTCGCACCTGTAGACCCCGATGGCTTCCCCTTCCTTGTTGATGACCTTAAAGGCATCGCGTGGGCATATGGCGGGTGGCTTGATGATGTCATATGGCCTTGGGAAATCCTTCAAGGACTGGAGGCCATTGCGGGCCTGAGCGGGGATCATCTGGCTTTGATGGAAGGTGGGATTCTGCCGCTCCTCGTGGTTGCTGTCAGTGTCTGTGGAGTCTTGGCCACTGTTGTTTGGGGAAAGGCCTCTGTCAGAAGACAGGCTTTTGTCCCTGAGGTGGGCATGGCTCTTCTCTGCGTCCTGCGAGTTGCCATTTGGCACGTCGGCACGGGTCAGCGGTATGGGGTACAGGCTGCTTATGACGGGGACCATTTCCGAGGTGGGAGCTGGCGGCGTCTGCACGAGAGGGCGCAAGGCTTCAGCCCCAAGGTAGGTGATGGCATTGTTTATGGCTTGGTCCATCATGCGTCCTTGCATTATCTCGCTTTCCTTTTCGTACAGGAAACTTGAATTATAATTAACATCAAAACTGTGTCGTTTCTCACCTGAAAGAGAGGAGAGGTATTAAATTACCTGCATGGGTAAAGAAGTGTTTAAGCTCCGTGATGCCTTTTCTAAGTGGCAGTAGTGTCTGGAAAGTAGAGAGGCACGAAATGTTCTCTGCAGAAAGAGACTGTTCACACACACAAGTAGCTTTTGGGTGGGGTTTTTTGGGGTTTTGTGTTTTTTTAAAGCTCAGGCTTGTGAGCAAAAAAATCTAACAGAGGAGATGGTAAGGATACTTACTGGATGAATTACCATTAAATTTTGTAAATTATTCTGGGATTTAAGGGGAAAAATATTACCAAAGCTTCCATAGATTAACTTCCCTTATATTTTTTTCTAGAAAAAGGTAAATAATCATTAATGAAAATACTTGTAAAAGAGCTAATGGGTAATGAACCAAAATACTCCATTTTCAGTATCAAGACCGCAACCTTTCGTTCTTGACTTGTCCCCCGAGAAGAGACAAGTGCCGGCTGGGATCTGATGCACTTTTCATTACTTCTACCCATCTGACAGAGTCCTCTTTACTGCGTCCTTGGACAATGAAGTCCATTTTCCCCACTGTCCTCTGCCAACTGCAGCTTCCTCTGTACCACGTCTGGTTTCTTTGAACTCCACAGAGTTTTTCAGATAATCTGACACTGGCAGCTCTGTATACGTGTATAGAAGAACAGATTTAGGGTCACTTGATGCAGGGCTAGTGAAAGAGGAGTGAAATGAATTCCTCTCTGGGCTGGGACTTTGAAAGCTCTAGACTAGACAGAATGGGAGGAGAGCTAAGAGTGTACCTGAAATTCTGCTCACGCCTCTTCTAGCAAGGACCAAGGCAAGGGAGGGTGGGCTGGGCAGCACACTGCAACTACTTTTCTCTATGCCAGGTGCAAGGAGGAAATAAAAGTGCACCCCAAAAGGACTAAAGCCACTTTTTTGGGTGAATGTCTAGAAATAAGCAACCGAATTCTGTGGTTACGTAGAATATAGCTTTAAAAAAAAAAAAAGGAAAAAAAGAAAAAAAGAAAAAAGAAAGGGAAAAAAAAAAAAAAAGGACCAGACCAAATGTTTCATGTGCAAGTGACTTGCAAACATCAGATCCACTCATCTTTTAGTTACGGTAACTCGAATAGTGCAGATGTTTATCAGTCACCTGTCAACACCATGACTCAATGTATATGAAACTCATTAGGTTTCACTGCAGAGGCAGAAAACCAGGAGCTCACGTTTCTCTTATAAAACACTCAAAAAGGTTAGTGAACCACAAGAGTGTAACTGCTTCCAACCCTCAACAAAACTTGCTATCCAACTTTACACAGAAGGAAACAAAACAATATAGCACCTTTGTATGACTCATAAAACCAGCTCCAGGCAAGTGAAAGATGTGAACAAATTTGAAATTAAAAAAAAAAAAGGCAACAAAAGCAAAAATAGACAGGACTCCCCAAATTTTGGGTTAGAATTCACTGTTATAAGGTAAGACACAAAAAGCACAACTTCTGGTCTCACAGTATTCTGTTATTCCCCTATCCTAGTGGCTTTTTAAAGTCCTCACAACAGCCCATTCTGTCTCCCTTCGACCACCAGTTATATCAAATGAAATGCAAATACCCATATGCTTTCCTAACATATGTTAACATGTCATGTTGCTGTACGCTTTTAAAAGGCCACGGCACATCAGATGTGGACTCCTTATATGAGAGGGCAAGAAATCAGGCTGTAAGACAGACTGCAACGTTCCCAAGATACTCTGGGCAGAAAAGGCATTCCCTAAAGGGTAGCTTCTCTCCCTCTCTGTCTCCCCGGTCTCAGCAGACACCCCAAGGCAAGCACGCGTCTGATTTTGATACCTCAGTGTGTTTCGATGCCTATATTTAGGTAGACTGAATCTGCCTGAAAGTGCTAATCGTATATCCAGAACGTCAAGCTATGGCACTGTATCGCAATCAAGTGGATGGGGGGGCGGGGGGCACTCTTGATTGTTTATTTTGTTTTCTCTCAGTGAAATACAGGAAACCTTTCCACACAAAGAAACAAAAAGCCGGATTAGTGCTTTGCTCGACACCGACAGTCAGGAGAAAGCTGGTATCAATGATCTAGAAAAAGGGAAAGGCGTATATGGGGACCAGTGAATGAGTAAGATGGACCGTGCTGAAAGCAGTTGATGTTTTATCTTTGTAGCCGGCAGGACAATGTAATAGATTATCCTGATCCAGAACGTCAAGCTATGGCACGGTATCGCAATCAAGTGGATGGGGGGGCGGCAGGGGGGGGCACTCTTGATTGTTTATTTTGTTTTCTCTCAGTGAAATACAGGAAACCTTTCCATGCAAAGAGACAAAAAGCCGGATTAGTGCTTTGCTCGACACCGACAGTCAGGAGAAAGCTGGTATCAATGATCTAGAAAAAGGGAAAGGCGTATATGGGGACCAGTGAATGAGTAAGATGGACCGTGCTGAAAGCAGTTGATGTTTTATCTTTGTAGCCGGCAGGACAATGTAATAGATTATCCTGAGTTCAGCTGCTCTCTGCATCAGGCAAAGTGCCACAAAGTTACTGAAAAACACTACATTAAAAATTAAATTTACAGGTTCTCTGGTGTTCGTTCACAAAGCAGCCACTGGTTAGCAGAACTTCTTTCCTCTTTTTTGTTTTGTTTGTCTCGGTGCAATGCAAAAGCTTTCCCCTTCAAAATTCACACATGAGCCATAGCGTATGACACATACTCATGTGCTGCTCAGTGATGCTTTACTTACTCTAAAATGTACATAGATTTTTGCAGCCTGATGAGGTGTGGACACTGGAAACAGGGAGTGAACCTGCTTCCTGCCGCTGTGCTAACCAAAGCAGACCATTTCTCGTTAGACTTTGCACACTAGGGGATAATGGTATTTGTTACTGTGTCAGAACGGCACTAGCACTTTTACCACTATGAGAAATACATTTTTTACTCCCGGTCTCAGGGAGAACTTGTTTATAAAAAGGAAGAAATAGAAGTCTGTGGGTCAAGATACTCAGCTGGTGTGAGCTGGCAGAAATGCATTGACTCCACCGGTTACTTTGACTTGCGCCAAGCGAAGATACAGCCCCATGAGTGTTTCACACCAGCGGTGAAGTACCACCATCCACTCTACTGGGCTATTTTTATTTGTTTGTTCTGTGGGGTGTTTTTTTTTTTTTAATCTGTTCATTAATCAAACCAGGAAGCACAAAAATCCAGGGTTTGTAGATTTGGTCCATATACATGCAAAAATAGAAATCCACAACAAAATAGGAAACACAAAGTCCTAAACTTCCATTCAAATCCTTGTTCCCTCATAACTAAAGGAAAAGCTGAGGACAAAATCTTTGCAGGAGAAGCCTTTGAAGGGGGGGGGCTAGTGTAGAGGTTAAGTCAAGTATACGGTCTGCTGATCTGTGTCCTCACTTGAGGCTTATACTTGCGCACACAAGGTAGCTACTGAAGATGAAAATGTGAAAAAATAAAGTGGGCAAGACTCCTGGTGCTTGTATGAATTTCTGTGGAGCCCTCAAATAATAATAAAGGTGGGTTTTTTTCTGATCAATAGACTTCATTCACAGAAATGAGCCAAACAAAGATGCCTTGTTACTATATGTCTCTATCCCTTCTTCCTGACAAAATGAAAAATCAGCACCCATTCTGAGAACGCTGTTTCCCAAGAAATCACAAAGCTGTCCTGGCACATTCGCACTCCTACACTTACAGTTCAGAAAGTCACAAAAGTCAAATCAAGGTCAGACAGACTGCTCTTGCACACATACTTCCCGGGGATAAAAGGGACTGAGTAATTTTTTCACACATCACCTAACAAGAACATGCCAATCACATAGGTTCTAGAAAAACAGTAAGTTTCAGAAATTGGCTATCTTGTTCCTTTAGGTGAACTGCCCTGGGTCCTCCAACTGGTCCCCAAAACCCCTTGCGTGACGCAGTATCCGTTCATGCCAGCTGCAGACCACGTTACTGAGCACAACCACAAATCAAAAAAGGATCCATTCCATACGGTAACAAGTACGCTGGTAAAACAAATCAGAAAACCACTAGCACTTAATTTTAAGTGTATGCTGAGTGGTTGCATCCTGCTGCAGATGTGTTTAATAAAATGCAGAGACTGAATTGGTAGCAATAGTAAAACAAGACCGGGTGAAGCTGATCTCAGTGCTAAAAAAAGGAAGCTAAAGATTTTCAAAAACATTTGCGTTAGTATTACTGTTTGAATCACTGTGTGACATGTAAGGTCTAAATCACACAGTCAACAGTTTCAATATTAAGTACCCAAAGGCACTCCGATGGAGTGTGCTGGTGTGACTTCACTGCTGTATAAAAAGGTGACCTTTTAAAGCCATACTAGTGTCTAAATAAAAGTTACCAGCTTTCTTAGATGAAAGTCCAGTGCTACCCACCAAATCCAGTAGGAGCTACATGGCCTTCAAAAACAAAGTTGCTTTTACGTTTACATGGATTTAGCGGCATACCTTTACCCAGGTTTGCACGTTCAGGACAGGTCCTCAGACCATCCCTCTGAGGGATGGCAGCCGCGGGTCCCTGCCTGCACACTCAGCCCTGTGCTTCTCCCCTCCCCAGTCATGTATGTGAACACACAGGCCCCTATTCTGAAGGTAAAGCTTATATTGAGAAAAAATAAGTACTCGGTACCTTATATAACCATACAGAACATAACAAATAAGGCATTATTAGTACTAATATCATATAACTGCTGACTAAGTCAGGTCTTTGCCCAGGACACAGGAGTTGCATTTTATTTTCTTAAAAGTTAATGAAATAAGACTAGCCAAGAGGATCAGGCGTTGACCAAAACCCCAAACCTGCCAAACTAGTATTTAAGATCCCCAGCATGCAAAACTCTGATCATATAAAATTAAATGCAAAGAAAATGCTATGGAAACATCTTGTTGCTTAAATTACCACAAGAAAGGATTTGATATTTTAAAATCATATTCAAAAAACTAACAGCAATCCAATAATTTTCTGTCTTTAGGCCTTTATTCCACACATACATCCTGCAAGTATCCTCAACTCCTGCTGACTAGAAAGAGCACTCAGCTCTGAACAGCATTAAGCCTTTCTGTTCTTTTCCTGTAGAGAACCTAGCAGAGAACATTTCAAATGCACAGGTACAGAAAACAATACACAGAAGCTCGTAAAATACATTTATAAATTGCCTAGACAAACAGACACAAAGCACAAGAGGAGCTTCCATCCAGGTTAAGTATCTAACAGAATACAGTCTTTTTAGTTTAATCAAAACCCTACAACAAATCAGTAAAACCACATCAGAATAATCAAAGTTACTTTATTTATATTCTTTTGTATTAGATTAGATTATAAGCTTGAGAAGGATATTTAAAATAAGCAGAGGCATTGCACTATAGGTTACCAACCTGCACATATTTAACTGTTGCACATGAAAAGGTTTTTTGTTCTTACCAATAAATTTCTGAGGCATTGAGCTTTTTCGCTTTGCCACGTTGCTTGCTAGCCTGTCCAGCACAAGGGCTCTTTCACTCCCCATCTCTGCCTTGATGTGCCTTGCCTCCACGCTTGCTAGTTTGGAAAATGTGAAAAGAAAAAAAAAGAAAAAAAACCAACACGTAGGTGAAAAGGAAAAAGAAAAAAGTAAAAAAAAAAAAGGAAGAGATGAATGGTTTAATCTCCGGAGTTTGCCACACTAACTGGGAGGAAACAGTTTGGAGATCTGATGTAAACTTGTTTTGCTTTTTCTGTCGTTCTTGCTCTTCGCATCTTGGGCACCAGTTGCGGTCAGTGGAACCAAGCACAGAAACAGACACTGATCTTGCAGTCCCGAGCTCATGCAAGGAGAGCATAAACCATACAAACCCAATATCTTCATTAGCAAGAGGAAGTGTAAAATAAACTGGCTGGAAGGGTTGGTTACAAAACGTAGATGGAGGTATAATCTCTGTTAGCCTTTCTTTTTTATTCTGAGTAAGACTGTGTGACACCTGCAGACTGACACAGTGCTTCCAAACTTCAATGTAAGATATTCAGTGCTCTTGCTACACTTTTTAGATATCAGTCATACTTAGATGTCATCTTAACTAATCACTAAGACACTTGTATGAAACATATCAATGCTCCATTAAAATAAAAATAATATAATCTTTCAATATTCCTTTCTAACTGGTTTTTTTTTTCAGATGTCATTATCACTTTTTTTTTCCCCCCTAAATGCTGCAGCTAAAACTAATTAAGAATGTTTTCTCTCTGGCTCACTTGAAAGCATTAGCATTAGGCCTTTTAAAGCTCACTACAACCTCCAGAATTTCGAATTTTAGGAAAAGCACATGTGCCCTACGATCACTCCCTTGAGACAAGGCCACTGACTGTTTTATGGATCTTATCATTTTCCAGAGTTGTCCTTCAGCCCTGCTAACCAGTGCCCATCATTTCACGGAAATTACTGCTTGCTCTCATCTCCTGGAGGCTGCACAGGCTTTTGAGCTGGATCAGCCAAGCTGAAGGACTGCCACCTCATATCACTACTGCCAGACTAATACTGAATATAACTGGTGCGGCTTCCCCCCAAAAAGCGGGTTCTCGCCTGAAGAACAAGTATCGGTAGTGGTACTTTTATATTAAAAAATAGCACTAAGAGTTTCAGCATTAGGGACCCCTATGATGAAAACCAGGCACATTTTAAGAGACTGCCCATGGAAAACGAAGACAAGGAGGGGTAATTTACCTTCCCAAGGTAATACAAAAGGTCAGATCTCACCATGAAAGAATCGTGGTTGCTGTGTTACTGTACTATTGCACTAGCATACCTGAATATATGAAGCATAATCTACATAACAGAGAAATAATGCCAGAGGAAAACGATACAAACACTTTGGTATCACTTCAGTGCTGCTAAATGCAGTTTTAGTAAGTATTGGACTTAAATTGCAGTTTGCTAAGTACAGCAAGTGATAAAAATGCAGTATCATCCTTCCCAGCTCAGTGTGCAGCATTTCCCTATAAATTTCAAAGTCAGTCACTCCTTACTTGTTTATTATTGCTGTTATTGATATCATATGAATTTCAGTTGGCACAAACCATGACTCACCAAACCTCAGCCAGAACTATTTGTTAATGTTTGTTCAGCATTTTGAAAATGTAAAGTGCTTCATAAGTGCTCAATGCCACAAATACTAGCTATGCATATGACTCAGGATGGATGGGATAACAGGGCTCAACTCAGCACTGCCTCAGTCCTGTTTCAGCAGGCTGTAACCCCATGATATACATGATAACCAGACCCGCAGAGGGCATGCATACGCAATGCCTTAAAGGTAATAACATAGTGCTTTTCTACTCTGATTTTTATTCCAAGTTACTCTAGGATGTTTAGAGGCTTACATAAATCCAGTCATCAACTACTGAAATGCACCTGCTTCCAGCATGACATACCAAGACACTACGTAACAGTTTACATAAAGTGAGACAAAACATCAGATTAAGTTGAAACTATAAGGGAAAGTTAGGTAGGCAGAACATAATCACCCGTTTGGATTTTGGCCAGAAGCTCGAGTTAATTCTTGAGAATAATATTATGTGGTTTTTAATTTCAGAACTTCTGTTTAACTCTCATGCTCCAAAAACTGGAATATGCTTTCTGAGCTCTTTATACTATCTTTAGATACCTGCAGTTCAAGCTTTGAACTATCCTCAACCCAGAAAGCTTGTAATCTTCACAAGATCATTGCACAAGTCATTAATAATAGTAATCCATATTTTTAAAACTGACAACCCACAACTACCCCGAACAAGATGATTATACAAACAGTGCTGTATATTCAAAAATTTACGTTGTAAAGGAAAGAAACCAACAACCCCCACAATTCATCCATGTCATAAAAGCAGCTCCCTAGTCCCTGCCATTTCTTCATTTTTCTTATTTTGTTCTTCTAGTTCCTCTTTTTCTCCCTCTTTATCTTCATGAGTTGTACTCACGTTCTATTAAAGCTTTATTTTCATATTTTCAGAGTCTTCCTCTCTATTTTCTGACAGAACTCAAAGAGTGAAGTTTCTTTAAGTCCCCTTAGCCAGCCCTAGAAACATGCTGGAAGCTACACGTAGGATATCTGTGACTACTTGTCTTGTCAATGTTATTTATGTGCCACCAAGGGAACTTTATTAAATTAGTGTCAAGAGGGCAGACAAGCGGCTTCCTGCAGAGGTAACAATAGTCTTCACTCAGACGAGATTGCTGAAGAGACAGTAACTATTGACCTACATAATATGTTCTGGGACATCTGTAACCATCAATCTTCCAGCTTGATGTCTGTCTGCCATTTTATTTTAACGCTAAGGGTCTTTTCTTTCACATTAGGATTTTCTACTCCTTGCTAATGGCCGTTTTTTCCTAAAGAAAAAAATACTCTCTATTTATAGGCCACAAAATTTCTTTAACAATGTGTTCATAATACAGCCTTAGGGAAGTAGACTCTGCTCCCAGCGAGACACAGGTGGCTACGCTGCTTCTCTCCCACAACACTGCTCTCTCTCCCCAAAAGCTAACTTAAAAAGATCTCACCCACCTCTTTCTTCTGGGGTTCAACTACCTGGCCAGAAAACAACACAAACTCTAAGGATCCTGAAAGAAACTCTGTAGACCAAATAAATCACCCTCCTCCCTCTTGATCAGTGCTCTCGAATGTGCCTCGGGACTTCCCTGGAAAGCCAAGCTCCTAATCAGGGTATTTACGCAGCAGTAGGATGGGGCTTAGCCCCGATGTCCTGACCACTTCTAAACGTGGGTCACCCTCTCCTACTTACCTAACACTAGTGACTGGTTACGGCCTTCCCTGATTACCACCTGAGATGTCTCTGTGGTGCTTCTGCTGCCTACCTCAGTAGTGTGTATATTTCAGTTGTGATCTTACATTTAGAAAACACTTCCAGAAGAGAATTTGTGTGTAAACATGATTTATCCATGATGAATGACTACTTATGTTTTCTTGTAATCGCTGGGTGACAAGCCACCTCTCTAAAACAGTGCTGTCACCTAGCCATCATCTCATTCTGTAGATGTACAGAAAGCAGATATTCTTCTTCCAGCCTAGAGCACGAACACACAATCATTTCGCCTGTACTGAATTGTTTCCATAGTGTGGTTTCTGTCACCCCGTAAATGTGAGTATAATTTTTAGAACATGCGGGCATCATTAACAAAACCCTAAAGTACAAAGCACAGCCCAAATTAGAGGCATTGCTTCCTGTAGCATCTCTATGTGGTCACTAAATAATGGAGAGTGGAACAGAGAGGTGGGTTACTGCGCAATGAGAACAATGTGACCAGAGATTGTTATCAGGGACTGAGCAACGCTATAACAATATTGTTACATAAACCCTTTCTTTCAGAAATATTTCCACACTGTTACATCTGGAACATGCAAGCCTCGTACTGAAAAGCAACTAGAACAGTTACTAAGGTCCTGATGCTTTTCAGTATTTTAATTAGTTATTGGATGATGGCACGTAGAGAATACTTGCGCTTAAAGATGGCTCCACATCAGAAGGTTGCAAGGACTTCAGAAAAGCACCAAAATTCAAAGTGATGCAGATAAATAGGAAAATGGTCAGAAATCAAAAAGCCATGTTTGTTAAACACAAGTGCAAAATGCTACACTTAGGGGAAAAAAAAACCAAATCAAATGCAGTAAATGAACTCCGGAGGTCCTTTCCAGCTTTCCCTCTCTCTGATTCTGTCATCTAACATAGTGCTGATATCGGAGAACTGAATGGAAACACCTCAGCAAGACCAGAGTTCCTGTTTTTCATAAAACTTACTACTCCACTAAAAAAACTGCAATATTTTTTAAAGTGCGAAGGTCTTAAAGGCATAGGGTACAGCCACATCATGTCGTACTGGAAATTTACATTTCCTCTGTGACCAATTTAAGGCACACTGTACTACTGCAGTAAGTACTACGTAGCAGATTCTGGATAAGTGAAATGTTGCTATTCTGAAATGAATATAAACCATGAGAATCATTTAAAAGCAGAAATCTATAGTAGGTATCATGTTTTCCATTTTCACATGGTGGACATCTCGGAGTGATTGCCATCATGGGAGTATGTACTGTAACATAAAACCACAGTTACAATATGTATGGGTTCTCATGAAAACCAAAACTTGCTGACATTCTGATAACCATTTACTTTTACTAATGCTCTAAAAAACATGTCATTTGCTGAAAAGAAGATAGCCCATGAAAAACTATAAAACTCTAACTTCATTAAATCATTGTTTCTTTATGGCGGTTTTTGTGTGTGCATGTGTCATAAAGCCTGATACACCAACCTACTCACACTGCACAGGGTACAACGCTTGTACCCACAGAGTTATTACCATATATCAATGGGTCTTCACACTGGTTTTCAGGCCCGGCTTGTGATGATGTCTGCAGAACCTTTGGTTGATCATCATATCACTAAATACAGGTTGGGGTTTTTTTAAAATTTAATATTAAAGGGCTTTGGTAAACATTGTCATTGCTCTAAGTATATTTTTACATTTTAGTTTTCTTCTCTGAAAACTCAGTTTAACCTTTCCCTTGGAAAGAAGGTTTTATTTGAAATTCACAATCAAAAGTAGAAATCTCGATTCCTTAAAATTATTGTTTGGTTTTTTTAAGGCTGCATAGCACAAGAATGGGAACCCAAATTCTGAAATTGTATCAGCTCTGCTACAGATTAATCGCATAATCTTTTGGGAGGTCCCAACCACTCCCTGACTCTGAATCGGACAAGTAATTCTCTCCTGACTTACTGGTATATTGTGGGACAAGTTCCTTTTAGGACTTGAAATATTCAGGTGATGCAGGCTCAAAGATTATGGCAGTTATTTTTCACTAAAGTATTTTCAGAACTGCAGCACTGAGACTGTGAAAAGGAAACTAGGAAAAAATGCGTTTTGATAAATTTTACCTTTGGCCTTTTCCACAGAGAGCTCTATATTTAAGGCAGTCCCTTACCTCTCACCGCCTCCTAAGCTGATCTATCAGTGATCTTTGGGACACCGGCCCATTTCCATGCCCTAGATCCCTGCCACTAAAACTTCTGCAAATCCTAACCCATTTTGACCAATAGTTCTTATTCTAAAGAAAAGGAAGCATCAAACGGACTGAAACATGTGAACAACTGTTGTCAACAACCATAGGCATCAACTGATCCAGTAAAATAAGCCACATAATAGCATTAATGTAGGAATAATTTAATTTACTGTGTCACCTACAGAAATGCTGTGTACAAGCTATTTTAGATGTTTTATTCAAAGTAACTATGAAGTAAAAAAGTGATTAAAATAAAAGCATTCTTTAACTAGTTGCCTGAGGGATGCGTTAAACCAGACCCTTTTATAAGATGTTACAGCCCCTTAGGTTACTGAAAATGACTGTAGTAAAAACTGTTCTCAGGCTGTGAATTAACAGCTTACCAGATGCCCCTTTTTTAAGCACTGTAATGTACCAAAAACCCAAAACCACTGTAACGTGATAAACTCACCAGCCTCGCACATGCCAGCATTCTGCAAATAAGTACGGCACCGCTCCTTGTGCTCCTCTAATGAGCTCCTTTGCTTGTAGCTCCTTCCGCAAAACTCACATTTGTACGGCTTCTCCACTAGAAAAATAAGAGCACAGTATAAAATAACCACAAGAGACTACTAAAACACTGTCTCCCTGACATTCAAGTATATAGTTACTAATAGCATATATTCAGCTCATGGAGAATGCTTTACATTTCTGCTCAGTTTATGAGCACTGTAATCATCCCCAAATTAGGGTTAGATGAGGGTGAAACCCACTGGACACACAGAGCTCCTCTTCATTCCCTCAGCTCAGCACCAGAAAAGAAGAGGACTTGCAATGAGACACTGTTCCCAGGAGCTCAGGTTCCTAGAGTCCCGCTCTAGCTGACAACTTTTCTTGGCATAACTTCCCTAGGGAAGACCAACTGTACCGCTGCTAAACGAGGACTGGAACTGCCCGACCTAGGTCCTGTCTATACAGAATTTTTCAAGGATTTCATGAAACCGATGAAGTTAAACCAAACCAAAACCACATGTGAGGTTCATTTCATTTCCAGAGGCATTTATTGTAAAGCAAATTATGTTCCTAATTCATTTAAGCTAAAGCAAACCTGTCTGTAACTCAAGATATCCACATTGCTTTTCCCAGTGCCTCATACACAAGGACTGGAAGCACTTGCTAAATGATCTCATTACTGTTTTGTGAACAGACATCCCCTAACACACCCAGGCGCAGTATCATCCCTGTACAGCACAAATATAACTAGCCTTGCATTGTAAACTGTTCCAAAAGACCATACTCCCTGCTGCTAAGGCAATTGTTCACTTATTGATGTAATCTCACTTGAGGAGATTTTCTTTATACTGTTTAATAAGCCAGCTCTTAAAAACTTCAGTCACAATAACCACACAACGTTTTTGAAGCATGGTGTTTTTAGCATTGTGCTGGTGGGGGACAGTCACCACCGCTGGGCTGGGTCTTGATCAAATCAGAATCTCATTTATCCATGTCAGATAATCTCATTTTTAGCTGTGATTCTTCATGAGGTTGAACTTTTTTTTCTGTAAAGTGCAGTGCAGAGATAACATCTATCATGCAGAATAAACATTTTCTTTCTAGGCCCCTGTATAACACAGGATATACACAAATCAAACAGTAAACACAACCTGGCTCTTGCAGAACTGGGGAAACTAAGATTAATCAATTTATACCTGGTTTGTTATTCAAGTCACCTCAGCTCTGTGCCTCCATTTCTCCCATCAGTAAAATGGATGGAACACCCTACCAGTCTTGCGAAAAACCACTGGCATTTGTGGAGCATGCTAAGACGTTCAGATGAAAGGCACTACACAACAGCGAGGTGTTAACCAGCAATAGTCATGCTGTCCTGGATGATGCTCGTAGAGCTATCCCACAGCTCAGGACAGGAACGGAAGGAAGTCCCAGCAAAGCATGTCTTTGCACTACTCCTCAAATTCAGAGCTTGCTGGCATAGCTAGCTCCACTCATCTGAAAATACCAAGGAGTTTTTTTGTGCAAGCAGGTATGGAGGCTGGCCATTTCCCACAGCACGCAGCTGTGACAGCGGGTTTCCCAGTGCCCTCTTTCTGCATTAAGAGCGGCGCTGAGTCCCACGATGGTTCCATCAGCACAGCAGGCAGAGCAAGTGGTCACTGCTATTTGTCGACTCTTCAAAACCAGACCGGCTGAGCAAACTTTGCTGACTGACTCTTTATTTTCCACGCCTAGTGTCCTAGTGACACACATCTAAAACACATGAAGTGTCTTTGAAGTCACTTACCAGAATGTGTCCTTAAGTGACCTGTTAGCGCATCCCTCCTTTGGCAGGCATAACTGCAAAGATGACATTTAAAAGGTTTTTCCCCTGTATGTAGTTTAATGTGGCGGAGGAGGTTACCCTTCTGAGTAAAGGAAGCTCCGCACTGATTACACTGGAATGGCCGTTCACCTTAAAATGACATACAAAAAAGGACATTTAATGGTTACGTGGGTATCATGCTATCCTCATACCCTTTCCTTTTTGGAAAAGGAAAGAATTAGATACTGGATCAATTTCTTTCTATAGAAACACACACAGCCCTTCCGTTTTCAGTGGGAGTTACATGCAGCTCTGGTGTCAGAGCTTCTTGTAACACATGTACGACTATGGAAAACACTGTACAGTTTTTCCATGGAAATAAGTGTTCTGGAGGAGGCTGATTCCAACAAGCTAGCAATTTTGAGAAAAAAAAAAAAAAAGTCTTATCTTATTGCAGGTTGAAACCTAAGATGCTCATTGGTTTGTTGCCAAAGTATAGCACAAAGAGAAATACATATACAGACTGGAAATGGCAGCACAAAACCAATCATCTAACTTGTGTTTTGTGGCTGAAATACTTAAATGAGATAGTGCCTTTCATCCAAAATTCTTAAAATGCCTCACAAACATGCTTTTACTAACATCCAATCCTGATAAGAAGAGAGGTGGGTAAAGTGAGGCACAGAAAAGTGAGTAACTTGGTAGAAATCACATGAGGCGTCAAGGACAGAACAAGGAAATCCTGATGTTGGTATCCTTTTTTAAAATAAGTAGTCTAGATTACAAATTATTATCTTTTCAGTATTCAGCTCTTACAAGAATAACGTAGGGATATTTACCAGTGTGGCTACGCTTATGAACCATCAAGACATTGAGGCTAATGCAGGCTAATCCACAGATATCACAATTCATTTTTCCACTAGCTGGCCTGACGTTGTCATATGAACCAGAATGTCTTTCCAGTTTAATGCTTTCATATTCATTATATTCTCTGGGATAGGTGTAAGGCATTTCAGATTCTTCTGGGTTTTCCATAGGCTGTGAATTTAAAGCACTCTCCTCTCTTTCACTGTATTCACCTTTCACTTTAACCACATCATCTGCAGGTAAAACAAAGCACAAAAGTGAAAAAATGCTCATCTTAGGCACAATGAAGTATCTTAGGAAAAAACTCACCAAAAATTACATAAAATTACATTATCAATCTTCCTAAAAGTTTTACTTAAACACCCAAAGACGAAGAAATGCAGCTGAGACACGAATCTTCATGTTTCATGTACATGTAATGATACTCACAGTGAGATAACCTTTAAAAATATTGACCTGCCTGTTAATTACCTTTGATGGATAATTTCCTTCTACAGATTATAAAAATATAATACAGTGCAAACTTCTCCTGCAATTACAGGGTACTATTCAGGATTCAAAAGAAAGTACTTATTCCCACAATCAGCCAACAGAAATTAGCATCTCAGGCTGTTCCTGAGAATTGGAAGTACAACAGAAAGGCACAAATTAAAAAGGATACTTATATCTTCCTGTGGAACCTCCGGTGCTTGAAACATGCCTAAGAAATATTTCTGATCCAGTATAAGACTTCCAGTGCTCCCATAGTATAGATTCTCATCAATTAAGCCTAATCAGTAATCTTAATTTTCCCTTGCAAATTGCAATTTTTATCCAAAGATCTCAAATGTGTGAGGAGCATCTGATAATCTTGGTATCTGTACCATAAGGTTACTATGTGAGTAAAACTAGCAGAGGTAGGGTAAAGATTTCCTGCTAAATAAATGTATCCCAGAAAAGTTACAAGATTTGTCCAAAGTCATATTGCAAGTATGTGGCAAAGAACCCAAAGAACCCAAAGACTTGTGAAGATCAGCATCCATGGCCTTGGAATAGGTTCCTGGACCTGTAGCCATGTCCAGAGAAAACCAAAGACTTGGCCTCAAATGAATGCAATTTCAGGACAAGAGGAGAATGTAACAAGTAGCTAATAATTTACTAACAATAATGCTCCTGTGTAAAAATATAAGCAAATCGGTCACACTATATAAACAGCTGATGATTCCCAGTTTATGTTTCTGAATTTCTTTTCCACTATTAACTCCAACCTTACCAGCGCTTGTATTAAAAATCCTTACTAATTGATAGGACAGCTTTTTTCTGCTTAAAGCTGACTTTTCCATCTAGACAGGAGCTAGGCCATGGCTGAAACCTGAGTTATGCCTCAAGCTGCCAAGTGAAGAAAAGCACTAAGAGATAAAATACATAGTTTCCTGTTTGAAAGTATTGTTCTCATGGCCACCTGCTTCTCTCTCAAACTGAGGGTTAGACAGTTAAATGTGGCACTTAATCACTTGTCCTTTCTCCAAAGTACAGAACATGGACTGCTGAATATGTATTAGCTCTGGTTCTGAGTAATAAACCACATCAAATGCCAAGAACAAACAATGGGTGACAGCGAAAATGAGGTGGCAACATAAAAGCAGCACTGAAAAATAAAGATCTGGCAACCAATGCTTTCATGAAATTAAAATTTTCAACTATATTTTAGTGATAAAATCACTCCTCTGGCCTAAATGTTTGCACTAAGCCCAGCCAATCTATCTTACTTTGGGTTGAAGTGAGGTGGAAGAAACAGGTGGGTGACAATTTCTTCATCCTATGCAAGAATCCACAGCAGTGTGGAAAACTCATGAGATTCCTCTTGGTACACTCCATAGATGACAATATCCACAGAAGGATGGGGTTTTTTCCCCATATTATGTGCTTTTATCCCCCTATCCTAGATGCTTTTTAGAGTTTGGTATTGGGACTGACTGCCCTGGTCCCAGAAGAGCTCACACAGATTCACGTGTTTGCTCAGAGGGTCACGGGGATGTCTGGATTCCCCTACAAAAAGGCCGTTTTTCCCTGCACCTTCTTTGGTACTAGCTCTGCCTCACATCCTGGAGATTCCTACTTCCACTGAAACAGGGTTTCCTCTGCAGGTACTTTCTGCTGCCAACTTCACGTCTGAGGGCGTGAGGGTGATCCTGCTATCAAGACTCCTTCAAAATTAGTTTATGCATCCATTTCCATCACTCTAAGGAAAAATTATTGCCAGTTGCTGAAAGCAGCTCTCAACAGAATCTCTTTTCCAAAAAAAAAAAAAAAAAAAGAAAAAAGGTTGGTTGGTTGGGTTTTTTTCCCTCTCAAAAGGAGGCAGCTCCAAAATAATTTGCTACATCCTGCATAGCATGGTAAAAGGAAGTACACATTGCAGCTGCACCTTGTTGGTACTTTCAGAAACAATTTCAATTCCCACTTTCTACTTAACGTCTCACCTTTTGTCTGCATCAAATGCAATTGCTTAGCCGTGGAGGACCAGCTATAAACTCCAACTGAGAAGACTTTTCTACCGTTTTCTACTGTTTCTCACCACAAGTTCATGGCTCACAGCTTTTCACTCTTTTACAGAGTTATGCCAGTGTTCATGTAGCATAGCATGAACACTGGTTTGAGTTCCCCATGGCAAGCACTTGCTGACTGGCACAAACTGGGCAAGCCATCCTATGGTTCCACTGCGGAAAATAATTACCTCTGCATTTTCCATATTGCATGCTGACTGCTTGCAATACTTGTGTTTTCTTTAGTAACAGAGAAGGATGCACCTGAGTTCTGATCAAGGCTTTTCCACCACTGCTTTCCCCCAACAAACATCACTGCGTCTCCAGCTGTCGGTGATGTCCCACCAAAGCTCGAGTGCTTTTCAGTTTGCATGTAGGCATTTGAAGAACCTCAACGGAAAGATACACCTTCTGATGACTGAGAACAACAGACAGCAGAAGCCACTAGGGAAGAGGCTTTTTTTAACCAAATAAATGTTAGAAGGGTTGGAATTTTTCTGTCCTAACACACCTGTTACTGTTTAGAGTCTACTCTGCCTTCCTGACAACAATACAGAAGAAAGCTCTGGTACAAAGCAGTCCAAAGCAAAGACGGCTCAGTAGAGGTCAGCCTAAAACTAACCAAGTGGTTGTAGAGGTCTGAGGCAACCAAATTCCTTTTTTCAGCCCTGACTTTTGCTCTGTGTATGGGCACGCACAGGGAATACTGTGAGATCAGGAGATTGGCAGCTGTGTGGAAAGGTTTGTAACTGTCACTTAAAAATTGTATTGACATATTTTAATGAGATTAGGGAGCTTCCAGGCTGGTCTGCCTTAACCAAGAGGAAGGCAGCTCTAACTTCAAGTAGTAAAGGAAAAACACACAATTATCCCTAACAATACTAACAAAGTTCCCCCAGTTGAAAAAAGGAGTGCTATCATCTCTTCTATGCTCAGGAAAGTAAAGAGGTTGTAAGAGGAAAAAAACATTCATGGTGTCCAACTCAGGTAACTATTTTTCTTGAGGCAGTTCATGAAGCTAATATACACTGCAGAAAAAAATGTAGATTTTACACAACAAAGTACCAGTGTGATGCGTTAAGGCTGATGCACATGGTTTCATTTCCTGGGGAGATGATTACAAGATGAAAGACATACTCCAGAGTAATATTTTTGTTTCACCTGAAACATTGTAAAAACAATGGGTTCTGGAAAAACTCCAAAATAAAGCTGTGGTGGCAACTTCAGACTGAGTCACCACATGAACAGTGCTTGTATATGTGCTATAAAATGCATGAATAAAAAAAAGAAGTCAATAGCAGCAAACAGTTAGGACAAGCAGAGTGTTACCTTAGTTATTCTCTCTAGAAGGAAGTCTTGGAAGGAAAAACCCCCAATTACTATATTTAATCCAAGACCTTGGCATCAAATATAGAGAAAAGAACGTAAGTTTTGTACTGTTGTTAAGCAAAGTTTACCAGTAGTGTTATGAAAAGCACAAAGAATAAAACTCAGAAGCTATTAAAGACAACGGCACAAAAGGGTGATGTTGCTCAAGTGTTTTACAAGGAGTGGGGTCATAATCATGAAATCCTCAGCACATGCAAAAAGTCAACTGGATAACAAAGAAACTTAATCATCTTAATGTGGCATTTTAATGATGCTGCTGATTTGCTATGCCAATTCAGAGATAATGAGCCCCTAATGCTACAGATGTTCAGCCAGACTAAAGAAAAAAAAAGGAAAAAAGAAAAGCTTTTCTTGTATGCCATTTCCTAACTATCCAATTAAACAAATTGTGAAAGCATATAAATAGTTTACCAGATTTTGACAGCTGTTAATAGGATTCAGATGCCGAAGAACAAGAAGGGAGTCTATACGTGTGCATAATGAAGGATTCTTGTGACTACCTGGATTTGACAGGTATTAACTGATGATTCATCACCGTTATCTCCACAAACTGTCCCCAGAAATAGCAGTATAAAAACAAAAGCTAGTGTACTCATACTAGAGTTGGTGTCTTCCCAGAATGTGAGATTCCTTTACCTAAACCAGCTTGAAAAAGAACAGACATGTTTCAGAAACCGAAAAAGTTAGCGGAGTTTCTAGATTAAAGTCAGAATCCTGCATGTTTATGAAAAACACCTCTACAATGGAATTAACGCACTGTGGGGGAAGATATGTCACGAATTAAAAAACATCCATATTCCTTAATGAATAAAGAGAGGTTTGCAGTGCGTCCCATCAAAATTGTAAACTGAAAAAAAGCAATGCTATACCAAAGCTTTTTTCCTTAAATAACAAGAAGAAAACAATTACATGTCACATCCATGTATATATTGAAAATTTGGAGACTATAAGTAATGGGGAATTAGAAACTGTGAAGTGACACAATAGCAACATGAGATTATTTTTTTTAATAGAGGCAACAGAGAGAGAAGGCAACTTTTCTCCATGTCTGCCTTCTACACCACTGCAAATATCAATTCTAGGAAAGGGAAAGGAGTTCAAGTCTTTTTGGCCATATTCGGCTTTGTTTCTTCCACTGACTCCTGTGACAAGCTCCCTTTTTTTACAACAGAAGCAATGCTTTTATGAGATCATTGTTTGCCAACAAAAGAAGCAGCAATCACCTAGAAGCAGTATCAGCTTTCAGCTAGCCGGAGTGGCAACTACAACTCTCTGGAAATCCATAGATTTCACTTCCTTGACTTACTAAAAATTATTACTTGGACATATTGGCTTTGATTTTACCTTTCTGCCTTCCAG